TTTTTTTTTTTCAATTAATAAATTATATATTCATTGAAATCTTTTATAATTAATGACTGAATCTTGCATTTCAATGGTAAATAAAATGTTGAAGTAATCTACATACATTCTGCTGTTTGAATTATTTCATAACTTTCTCAATTATCACAATTGAGATATTGTAATGTTTGCAGATTTATTTTTACACAAATTGAGACTAATGATAAACAACAGATGATGGAAGTTACAAGTTAACTAACAATACTGGAAAATTGAAACACGGAGTACAAAGTCGCGATTACATAGCAATTTTATGTACGACGTTAGACTTAGTTGATTATCATGCAAGATAAATGATTAGAAGTAATTGTATGCTTACCAGGGCCATAAAAGTGGGCACCAAGAGTACAGTCGTAAACACTACCGTTTATAGCAATTAATATTCGTCCATCTGGTCCCTTGCCATTATATTTTTTCAACTCCTCAACTGTAAAATCACGTCGTATTTTTGGCAGTCTTTTTATCTCTTTCACGGGTTCTTCAACCTTCGTCTTGCTTTTAACAATTTTGTAAACTAAAAAGGCGATTACGCCTACTAAAAGGAGATTTATAGGACTCTTTATGATTTCAGCGATGAAGCTTGAAAGCAGTTGTTGACTTTCCTGCCCGGTAGAAGTTGAGGTGGAACCCGGCGAGTCATTCTTTTCCGCCATTTTGACCACTAGTTCTTGGATGATGGGAGAATAAAATAATATTTCTTGCTTACTATTGATTAACTTCGCGTTATGTATATATTAAATAGTTTAAAAAAAATTTCAATGATCCTTCAGAAAGATGAATCGGTATCTGTTAAATATACCGCTTAAACTGTACAACCTCAATCGCGAACTGCTAACATACCGGTACTGGTTACACTAGTGCCTACACTGATGTGATTATGTTCTTTAACATACACTACCCCACTACTAAACTGCATGTGCAGACCTATGTACATAGAAATTTCTTATTTGTTTAACACAGGTCAAAATAATAAAATCTGCTAAGTTGAAAACAATACCTTTAACAATCATCATTTATGTTTTGCAATAATTTTTTATCATTTTACAATGATACAAAAAGATGTATCATTGTAGTTAATTCTAGAAATTTTTTTCATTATTATTGCTATTTAATTAAAAATTATTATCAGTATTTTCATATCAATACCAATAATACATTTTATCGAAACTAATAAGGAATTTATTATACATGCAAATTTGAATTCGGCACATGCGTATAAATAAGTATGTCACTTTGAAATTTAAAAATTATGCTCTTGTAAGTTTTTAGTAAGTTACATAATTTTATTAAAAATATAAGAATAAAAGATATTAATAAGTTTAAAAGTTATTTTCTGTTTTAATAAAAATATGCCGACATTGTTAATTATTCAAATATATTTTATCTTTTTAAACAAATTATTTTTTATAAAAGTAAAATAAATATAACAATTATTATGAATTTTCGTCTTCAGTGTATTTTATTTCAATCAATTTAACATAACAGAAATATAAACATGTACTTTAAAGACTCTATTAAAGACGAATATTGCGAGATATTCCGCGTCATTATATTGAGTTTAATTTTTGAAAGTCATGCTATGTTGTCATTTTTCTGATACGTATATATTTCTACGTATTTGTACGAAAATATCTTGATAAATTGAATTTTAATTGATGCAAACCCGTTAGATGTCGCTTTATTATGCTTTATCAGTGTTTATCAAATTCTTGCGTATACAGCATATCTTAAATGTATATGTTAGATATGCGTGTTAATAAATTACTCAGATCTAAAATCGAATAAAACTGCGTAACAGTTCTGCAACTCTTTATGATTGCAAAGTAGAATAACAGTAGGGAAATTGAATCAATTATACTTGTTGGAGACTAGTTTATTGACAATATCTACATACTATTGATGTTTTCATGTGTGATCATTATTTGATTTGTGCACAAATTTTATAAATAATATATGAATTTATATAAGCTACTTGTACTTAATTATGTTGTACTCATATTGGACGGCACCATTTGATAAAAATAATAATAACTTTTCTAACTTCTATTAAATTATAGCTAAAACTTTTTAAGTTTTCATTGACGGTTTCCCTTCTTGAGAATCGAGATAGAGACGGATGTCAAGAGCAGATGAAACCATGTTAATATCTACTTTTTCTGAGCACATGGGACACGTCTTTTCAGATTCAATGATCCTAATTCAATAAAAAATAATTAAATACATTATATAAAATTATATAAAATAAAATGTCATACATACCTTAAGAATTCACTTTTTATACAAGGAAAATCACATTGTGGACATGCTGTAAAGTCATTTTCAACGATATGTCGGCCCTGAAAATTGTTGTATTATTAAAAAAACAATGTACGAATTATATTTTAAAATCAATGCAAGAATACTCTAAATACACTAACTGTAACTATACAAAAAGGTATTGTATTTTTGCATTTGTTGCAAGTAATTTCTGTTTCTGGAAGTTTATTCTTGCAATATGGACATGGAGTTAACGGTTCGTCTTCAATTTCGTTATCTTTTGATTTTGGTGGTTTTCTTACAATTGCTTCAATCTTTTTACTGTATTTAGCATCAATTTGGCTTCTATATTCCGGACGCATTAACATAGCAGCGTAATTAAATGCAGCATACTTTAATCCAGCTCTTTGACATTCTATTACAGTTGAGGTCAAAATTGGAACAATATCTGAAGCAAAAAGAATATGTATATCAAACATTGTTCATATAATTTCGAAATATTTAAATATCTTTTACTAACGTGAAGGAAATTTTGATATGTTATTAGCTACTCTTATTAGCATACGAGCACCACGTAAATGATCATTTTTTTTTACATGAAGTCTGACAAGAATATAAGAATGCAAAAGTCTTAAATTGTTTTGCATCTCTGAAGGTATATTGATCTTATTCTTTTTCAGTTCTTGATACATGCCAAATAAAACATCATGAGCGCTTCTATAATTTCCTGTAAAACAAACCGGTACATAATTTCTTTAATATTAGTTATATAAATACCACAAAAAATACCATTAATTTGTTCTTCATTTGCAATTATAATTGCTGTTTTTGCAGCTTCTTTATATTGTTTTCTAGCCATGTATAATCTAAATAGATATTTAGGATCCTGTAATGAATGTGAATAATTGAGCATTGAGTCAATATATCTTTATTAAAGTAAATATTATTACCTTAGGTAATCCATCTCCACCTAATAAAAAATCAATTAATTGATTTGCTAATTTGTCATCTTTTGAAGAAGCGACTGTATCAATAGCTAATGACAGGACTTCATTTTCATCTGTTACTAACTGAGCAGCTTTTAATAAATGCCGCAATGCTTTTTGATATTCCTTAGCATGAAAGTAATATTTTCCAGCTAAAAAATTATTTTTCTGAGATTCGAAATGCATTGCAAGACTTTTGAAATCTTCTCTTCGTGCATTGCTATCATCAATCGTATTTATTAGTATTTCTCCATACAATTCCATTTTTCCGTGTTGATTAGCTAACTGGAACGCTTCTTCGTGACAATTTGACAAAATCAAAAACTTAATTGCTGAGTTATAGTCATTCATTTTTTGAAAGTATTTCGCGACTAGTTTAGCTCCTTCTATACTTTTAGTTTGTTGTACTACTTCAACACTTCGAGCTAGAATTAGCAAGCAAGATGTACATTCTAGATGCAAATTTAATACTAGATACAAGATGTTTTAATAATAATTACTTTACCAGGATTATTTAAATATTCTAAATTAATTCTAATTATGTTTTCATAATCTTTTGCAGTCTCATATGCTTTTGCTGCTTCTTCATATTTGCCTTCAGCTTCTTTGGCTTTAGCATATTGTATATTAATTTTGGCAGATGAAATTTGTGGTAAAAGTTGCCCAACTTTTTGCCAATTTTTTAATTTTATGTATGCGGAAGCTGCTTTATCAAAATATTCAGCTTTTTCATATAACAATGCAGCTTCATTAAATTGCTGTAACAGTGATCAAATTGAAATATCTATAAAATGCATGTATATATTTATAATACATACTTTCATTGATTCTAGTATTTCTGCACATTCTTTTCGTAACTGTCTTGAACTTTCATTATCCATAGCTATGCTTACTCCTTTTCTACTATCTCCACATCTGATAGACATTCTCGCAATTCCAGCAAGGCATAAATTTCGATGGTGCGGATTATACGCAGTTGTATTAGACATATTATTTGAATCTACCAATCCACGTTCGTAATTTGTTAATGCTTTTGGATAATTACCTCTAGAAAAACAATTTAAAATTTAAATTTAAATACTAACATATAAATAATTTACACGTTTAATATTATATTCTTACGTAAACTCTAACTGTTGAGCATATTCTCTAGCAATATAAGGAATTTCATCAGCTTTCAATTTCTGTGCTAAATTCAATGCTTGTTCCCATTGCATTAAATCCCTTCTTAGGTACAAAGCTTGTACTGGTTCTGAGGATTGTAAAAAAAATTGTTCTGCCTCATTATAATTACCAAGTAAAATACAAGCATGTCCACATAACAATGGCAATTCATCAATAGTTTCCATATTTTGTAATGCCCAAACCATTGCAGCATCTTCCAAGTAGCGATAAATTCGAATTGCTGTGATGGAAAATGATTATTTGTAAATAACATCATTCATATAATTTATACATTTTGTGTATATTTTATGTAAGAGCAATAATAATAATAATGATAAATTCATTATTACTAATGATAAATACCAAAATTAATATTCAAATTTGCAATTGCACTTTCTCCTAATTTTAACCATGACTCTTTTTCATTGAGTCTTTCACATGTGTCCCATGCTTGTTGATATCTAAAACATTTGCCAAAGTAAATATTTTATAGTTAATAAATAAAAAAAAGAGAATGAGACATTTACCTTCTGCAAAGAATCTGATTTTCTAATATTTCTTTCATTTTTGTATATTCCACAATATTTCCTATATCTTCATGAGAAGACAATGTAATTTGCATTAATTTGTTACTTGTTGAACTTAATGTCAATTCTCCAGAATATATCAGCAGTGGTAATGTTTCAGATGGCAGTTTTGTTGTATTTATCTTTATAATTTTTGTACCTATGTAGAATATGTTCCAAATGTATACATAGAATATATATTATATAATTGTTTCATATATATATTATATAATTTTTAAGTTTTGGTTTACCTTCAATAAAGTATTTCACAAATATATATGTAGTAATGACAGTTTTATTGTAAATAGCAAATATATTACGTTCCATAATATTCTGATCCCAAATTACACCTTGGATGTAATCTAGACAATCAGGAATTTGTAAAACGGTTTCTTGCACAGGATTATACATATAAGCGTCAAACTTATTATCTATAAAACACAATTGTGTTCCATTTGTATCTAAATAGATTTCCTTTATGCCATTATCATGTACATGTTCAGTACATTGATTAAAGACTTCTAAACAAAAATAAATTATGTGGCCCATCTAAATATATCATAAATGTAAGTTAATCATTTCAATATTCGCTTAGAATTCCATACATTTATATAAATAACTTACATCACTGCCATAGATTAAAAAGTCGTTACTAAGAGCATGGCACGTTATTTTAAAGTCTGAAGCATTTAAACCTGGAAACATTTTCGTGTCTTTCCCTTCTTTTATTAGTGTTTGATCCATTTTAATCTACAAAGACGATATGTTAACATATAATCGATTTATTAATATAAATTTATATATGTTGTAATAAATTTATATATGTTTTAATATACTTGTTACCGAATGCAACTGTAATTTGCCATCGAATAAAACAGAAGCATAGGCTTCATTTAATCTTATACTATCTATTGTTGCTAAATAATCTCTTTCGAAGTGCACTGTAGTATTATAATGGCTTTCAGATATGTCCCAGAACAATGCTCTGTTGTTTAATCCTACTGCTGCATGCATAGGACCTATTGTTAATACCGACGGTTCTATTATAGTGTTAATTATTATTGGTTCTGATTTCTCCTAAAAATTAAATTGAAATATTTACATGCAGTTTTACATGGTTAAATATTCTGTACTATGCATTCAGTTTTACCTTGTCTAATGTATAGAGATGGACTGTAACTTCTGTTAAACTAGTAAGTAGTGCAATTCTATTTCCATAGACGCTAGATAATTTAGGGATTTGTATTAAATAGATTAAAACATTGCCACTGTGAGTTACAGTTGCTATCATTGTACCATCCATTGACCATTCTACTGTACTAATTCCAGTTTCACCACTCACTGTAATTAATTTTTCAGTTTCTTCTAAATTTTGCAGATTATGTATTTTTATGGTATTATCTCCACATGTAGCAATTTTTCCTATTATTTGACTTATAGCCAAATCAGTCAAGGAATCTTTATGATTCTTAACTTGAAATAGTTCTTGACCAACCTCTTTAATATGCGTGGATATTGCAGTGAAATACCCAGTTTGAAAACCGACTAAAATATAGCCATCTCCATACCTAAAACAGAATATATAATAAAAACAAAAAATAATTGAGTTTAAATCAGTTTTTAATAATCTAGACCTTCTTACCATTTATAAGTAACAATAGAACCATAACGTTTTTGAAAAGCTAATTCAATAGGATTTTCTGGATCCAAAATATTGTACAGAAATAAAGTAGTTTTACTAATAATAAGAGATACCTAGCAAATAATAAGAAAAATAATACTTTATATATACAGACGTAAGTATATTTTATATATCGCTGCTTTATGAAAGAACCATACTGTATTTTCACCCCCAACTCTGTGATCCATTTTCATCTCATTAAATTGAATATCAGATGCATCACCTTGAAGAGGTATTTCACGTTTTGTATCCCCATCACTTGTACTGATAGTTAAAACCTTGTCTTCACTGGCTAATGCAAGGAGTCCTTCATAAGACCAAGCACCACAAGTTATCTTCTTTCTATGTTTTCCCAAAATCGGTATTCGTCTATACAGTAATTCATAATTCAATATATGATTATAAGAATATAACAATATTTAGAAATATTTTGCATCAAAAAGACTGATACCATACTTGGCATTTAAATGATCATAAAGCACTAGATTTCCTTTCTGTGTTCCTACTGCTAACAAACAAGTTCTTTTTGCCCATATCATGCATGTTAATCCATCTCTTACGCCGGCATCTATTTGTGTCTTTTTTCCAGTTGTTGCATCCCATAATGTGATAGCAGAGGAATTCTGTGATATTATAGCCAATAGATCTCCATCAGAATCCCATCCAAAACCAGTGCATAGACCAGCAATTTGGATACGTTCTTGCAAATCACCTTGTCTATCAAAAATAGCAACTGAAGAATCATAACCAGTAGTTGCTAAATGAGTGCTATTACCAGGACGCCAGGAAATGAAAACGGTACCAGCACCATGGGGTTGATATAATTGATAGAGAACCTACATAAAAAGTAAAATTGACAAATGTACGTACAGTATATGCTGACAGATATGTACGAATAAAATAAATACTGATTTCTTCTTATATATATTTCGAATAGATAAGCATCTTCCGAGTCAAAACATATAAATATTTATAAATGTTCTTTCTCATAAACTTAAATCTTAAATAACAAGCAAAGATATTGCATAACCAACCTTTTCAGTCGACATTTTTTGAGATTAAACTGTTCAACATCGAGAAAGCTAATTGCCTAAGAACGTATAAAAATGCTATAACGGCGCATAGTTAAAATATTAATTTATTAAACGAGAGATATTTTACATGTAACGTTGTATTTCTTTTATTCGCCATGTTGTTTACGTTTCGGCAGGTTTCGATCAATTTTAAATTGTGTATGCGATTGTTGCCATGGATCGTGATAGGTAGCGCTGCATTTTGTATATCATTTTCCCTTTCTTCTTCAAACGTCGGTGGCTTTTATCAATTAAATCATTTGGCAACGGAATGATCGAAGCAACGGTTAGAAGATAAGTGTGAGGTTCATTGAAGTATGCTATCATTACTTGAACATGATCGATTATTATTTATCATCGAGAAATTGCACGTACTTTGCAACTCATACAATAATTGTTGTACAAAAGGTACTAACAGTATTCGTAGAACGACAATTAAGATTAAAGAGAAATGTATAAATGCGGATGGGTGACTAAAACAAACAATTGTGTATGCGATAAAGATCGAAAGGAAAGCTCATTTAAAATTCAATCCGAGTTCCCGTTCTTTCACATTCAGTCTGACAATCTCTCGGCAACATCTATAGGTACGTATATGCCATTAATATCTTCGTCAGCAAGATCCACGGAAATATTATGTACCGATTATGGCGATTATATCGAAAGCTCAAACTTTCAGATTTAGTTCGAATAAACAGATGGAATCTGCTACAACATATTCGTCGTGTCTGGATAACAAACGTTTACTCAAGTTTATCCAAGTTTTCACTTTATAAATTCATTTAATTTCCTTCAATTTTTTTTTTTTTTTTTTTTTTTTTCTTAAGTTGTCACCGTTGAGAATGAATAATTACGCACGTAACTTCGTACGCGTGATCGTCTCTTTGTTGGAATAAGCTGCAAAACATTCTACCACCTCGTAAAGGTTTGTTTGATAACAAATTCTAAAGACGTGAATAATCAGCAGGTGGGTTTATCTTTCGAGCAACGTACTCGCACGAGCACGAAGCATTTTCAAGTAGTGTACTAATCACATATTTCGAACAATTCGACAAAGCGGCAGGGAAAAAAATAGATTGAAAAAAGTACAACGTTACGGTGAGCTCGTAATAATTATTTGGCCAGTAACAGATGCAACGTCAACTCTTGTCCCATAAATTTTGTTATATTACACAATGTGTCGCAATTAGTTTTGGGTCGTCGCGAAAGTTTCTTTTACTATTTCGTT